CTAAATGTTACTTTAAAAAATAATAAAAATTTTACCTATCCAGGAGCATGGAATGCTATTCCATCTTTTGAGGTCTTGTTCAATTTCTTTTTTGAGTAGTTTGTAGTTTTCTTCGAATAGGTCTCCTACACTTTTAGTTAGATATTCCCAGATACTTCATACTTTTCTCTACTATTTTGAATGGTATCTTGCTGGTTAGGTCTTTTTCCATCTTGGGGCTGTTTGCGTACACAATGGCTGTTGATTTTTGTTCATTAATTTTGTACCCTGCCACTCTGCCAAACTCTTGTATAAGTTCTAGCAGTTTCTGTATTGAGTCTCCTGGCTTTTCTATGTACAGGATCATGTCATCTGCATATAGTGAAAGCTTGACTTCTTCGTCCCCATTTGTATGCCTTTGATTTCTTTTTCTTGTCTTATGGCCTCTGCAAGTACCTCTAGGACTATGTTGAATAGCAGTGGACATAGTGGGCATCCTTGTCTTGTTCCAGATCTCAGTGGGAAGGGTTCTAACTTTTCTCCATTCAGTATGATGCTGAGTTGGGTTTTTCATAGATTGCTTTGATTATGTTGTGGATTTTTCCATCTATGCCTACCTTGATTATAGTTTTTAACATAAAGAGGTGTTGGATCTTGTCAAAAGTTTTTCTGCGTCTATTGATACTATCATGTGGTTCTTGTTTTTTAGCTTTTGGATGTGATGTATCACATTTATGGATTTCCGAATGTTGAACCATCCTTGCTTTCCAGGGATGAATCCTACCCGATCCGGATGAATGATCTGTCTGATTTTTTGAATTCTATTGGCTAGGATTTTGTTGAGAATTTTAGCATCAATGTTCATCAGAGAGATAGGTCTGTAGTTTTTCTTCTCTGACGGTTCTCTATCTGGTTTTGGGATTAAGGTAATGTTGGCTTCATAGAATGAGTTTGGAAGGGTTGCTTCCTTTTCTATTGTTTTGAAGAGTTTGTAGAGGATTGGGGTTAGTTCTGTTCAGAATGTTTTGTAGAATTCTGTAGTGAAACCGTCTGGGCCTGGGCTTTTCTTTGTTGGGAGATCCTTGATGACTGCTTCAATCTCTGTCTCAGTTATGGGTTTATTTAATTCTTCTGTTGCCTCTGGACTGAGTTTTGGTAAGTGGTGGAGGTCTAAGAACTTTTCCATTTCTTGGTGGTCTTCTAATTTATTGGAGTACAGTTCTTTGTAGTAATTTCTAATTATTTTCTTAATGGTTGCAGCGTCAAATGTGATGTTGCCTTTTTCATCTTTAATGCTGTTGATTCTCGCTTTCTCTTGTTTTTTGGTCAGTCGGGCCAGTGGAGTGTCTATTTTGTTTATTTTCTCAAAAAACCAACTTTTTGATTTGTGGATTTCATGTACAGTTTTTTTGATTTCTATTTGGTTTATCTCCTCCCTTGTTTTGATGATTTCTTGTTTTCTATTGTGTGTGGGGCTCTTCTGCTGCTGTTTTTCCAGCTCCTGGAGGTGTGTGGTTAGTTCCTGTATTTGGCGTCTTTCTTGGGCCTTGACATGGGCTTCAATTGCCATGAGTTTACCCCGTAGCACTGCTTTGGCGGTGTCCCACAAGTTTTGGAATGTTGTATCAGAGTTTTCATTGGTTTCCATAAATTTTTTGATCTCATCTTTAATTTCTTCTCTGACCCATTGTTCGTTTAATAGCATATTGTTCAACTTCGAAGAGTGTCTATATTTCCTGGGGAGTTTTGAGTTGTTGATTTCCAGTTTCATCCCATGGTGGTCTGAGAGGGTACATGGTATGATTCTAATCTTTTGGAAGTTATTTAGATTCACTTTGTGTCCTATTATTTGGTCGATTCTGGAGAAGGTGCCATGCACTGCTGAAAAGCATGTATAGTCTGTGGCCTTAGGATAAAAAGTTCTATATATGTCTACTAAGTCCAGTTGTTCTATTGTTTGTGTGAGCTCTGCTGTTTCTTTGTTGAGTTTTTGTTTCCTGGACTGGTCCATTGATGTTAAAAGTGTGTTGAGATCGCCTACAAGAATTGTGTGGGTATCTATGTCTTCCCTTAAGTCTGTAAGTAATTGCTTTACGTAACTAGGCGTGTTGAGATTTGGTGCATAAACATTAATGAAGGTGATTGCTTCTTGATGGATCATTCCTTTCACCAGTATAAAATGGCCTTCCTTGTCTCTTTTGATGTTAGTTAGATTGAAATCTATCTCGTCTGAAATTAGGACAGCTACCCCAGCTTTTTTTTCTCGTCCATTGGCATGAAATATCTTTTTCCATCCCTTCACTTTCAGTTTCTTTGCATCTTTTTTGGCTAGATGTGATTCTTCTAGGCAACATAAGTTGGGTCTTGTTTGATGATCCATTCCATTAATCTTTATCTTTTGATTGGTGAGTTCAGACCATTTGTGTTAAGAGTTAAAATTGAGAGGTTGCGATTTTGCCCTGCCATGCGAGTGTGTTTTGTGTGTGTTGTTATCTGTGTAATTGCCCTTCCTTGTATGGGCTTTAGTTTGAAGACCTTCCTGTTTGCCATCTTTGTTTATGGTTTGCCTCCGTTTTTTCTGGACTTAGCGCATTTCTAAGGAGATTTTGTAGAATTGGTTTTGTGTTGACATATTCTTCTAGTTTTTCCTTGCTATGGAAAGATCTGATTTCATTCTCATATATAAATGAGATCTTTGCTGGGTCTATTATTCTTGGTTGACAGTTGTTTTGCTTCAGGATTTGGAAAATCTTTGTCCAATCTCTCCTTGCTTGTATGGTCTCTTCAAAGAGGTCAGCAGTGATTCTGATGGGTTTTCCCCTGTATGTGATCTTTTCTCTGCTTTGTACTTGTCTCAGGATTCTTTCTTTGTCTTCGTTGGAGTAGAGCTTGAGTACCATGTGTCCGGGTGAAGATCTCTTTGGGTCATGTCTGTTGGGAGTTCTCTGTCTTGTATGTGGGTTGGGTTCATGTTCCCAGTGTTTTGGAAGTTTTCCTGTATAATTTCGTTGAGCACCCCTTGCATTCCTGACTCTCTTTCCACTCCTTCGGGAAGGCCCATGATCCGAATATTCAATTTTCTGAAGTAATCTTTCATTTCTTCTATCATTTTATTAGCTTTGTTGAGGCTTGTCTCCAGCTGTTTAATGAGCTGGGGATCTGCATTATGTGTGTCTTCAGTTTCAAAGATCCTTTCTTCTGCTGTATTTATTCTGTTGGTCAGACTTTCAATTTTGAGTTCCAGGTCAGCCATTTTGGTTTTGACTTGTTGTATTTCTGTGACTATTTTGTTCTTGAAGTCTTCCCACTTCTTCTCATGGTCTCTGACGAATTTTAGCATTATTTGTTTAAATTCCTTTGTCTGGTACATCTTCCTTGTCTTCATCTCGCATCTCCAATGTTGGTAATGGCTTTTGGCCCTCATTTGGTGGGGTGCTGGCTCTCTCAACTGAGTCATTGCTTTTTCTGATGCTTTTTCTCATTGTGCTATTTTTTTCCACGCTCCGGGCGGGTTGTTGTGTTTCCTGCTTACTTTCTCTGGATTCCTAAGTTGCGTGATTCTTCTTGGTTGCTCCGTGTTCAGGGACGCTTCAAGCACTCTTCTCTGCATGTTTCTGGTCTGCTGCTCTTCCCTCAGCTAACTTTCATCCCTCTTTTACCAAGTCCTCCTCTATGCTTGCCCTTCTCGGTCAGCCTCCTTCTGTTTCCTTGGATAGGTATTGTCTTGTGTGTGCCAACAGGGATAGAGTGTGGATGAGAGACTTTGTAGGCTTGGGTTTCTTGTCTTTGCTCTGGGTGGATATAGAGTGTGCGGTTCCACTCTCTCACAAATGTACTCCCCTGTTGGGAGACAAGCTTCTGTGGCTTGCTTGCCTGCACCTCCACCCAGGTCAGCAGACTCTATTGAGCAGTGCCCCACCTCTGGAGTTAAAGCTGAGTACAGCACAGCAGGGTATTCTGCCCATTCTCCAGCCACCTGCTGCTCTTTCCGACCCTGATTTGTGTTGCAAGGTTCTGTGGGCCTGGCCCTAGTGAGAGGCTGCTCTACCTGTTACACTTGCTCAAAGGCACTGTCCCACTGTGAGGCGCACTGTTGTCTCCCTCCAAGCCTGCCAGCCTGTGACCCCGCCTGGCTCAGCTAGCTGTGTGGAGCAGTGCTGCCTTGCCTCTGAAGCTGGGGCTGAGCACGGCAGGGGGTTCCACCGGAGCTTCCAGCTGCCTGTGGCAAGGAATTCGCAGCCCTGAGCTGGTTTGGGACAACATGGCGTGCCCCAGTCTAGTGAGGGCCCCTGTTGCGCTTTCTGAAAGGCGCTGTCGCACTGTGGAACACACTGTCATGGTCCTGCTAGCCCGTGAATCAGTGCCCCGCCTCTGGGCTAAGAGCTGAGCCTGGCAGGGGTTCCGCCCAAGCCTCCTGCTGCTGGCTTAAGGCTTGGAATTTGCAGCCCCAAGTTGGGTTAGGAAAGCTGGTCTCCTCTGGAGTTTCCAGTTGCCTGCAGCTTGAAATCCGCAGCACAGAGCTGGGTCAGAGAAGCTTGGGATGTCAAGGCCTAGTGAAGATTCCCGCTGAACTCACTCAGATGTGTTCCCCAGCTGTAAGGTGCGCAGCTGTGTCCCTTCTAGCCCTCACCTCCATCTGGGTTGGCTGACTCTGAGGTGCAGTGCTCCCCTTCTGGGGCTCAGGCCAAGCACAGCAGGAAACCCAGCAGCTAATCCACAGTTTGGAGCCTAGTTTTTGTGACCCAGACCTCTGAGAGTGGCTCCACCCCCCTCTGCACTCTCTCAATGGTGCTGAGCTGTTGGCGGGCGTTCTGCTGGGGCCCCCTCCCCTGCTTGTCCTCAACCTCTGCAGGGGTTGATGGCCCCTATGTTCAAACCTGTAGCTACCCTTAGGGTTTCAGGGGCTACAGTAGTCTGTGGCTCCCGCTGGTGCGGGAGCTGGTTTTTGCAGTTGCCCTTGTCTTCCCTGGGTCGCCAAGATTGCGCAGCCAACCTTCCACCTGTGTGGGACTGAAACTCACCAAGTCCTGTGCGACGTCCTCTCTTTCTTTTCTTTTTTTTTCTCACTGTCCCTGCAGGCTGAGTTGATCTTACTTCAGTGCAGTCTAGTGTCTTTCCCACTCCTCTCCCTGCAATTCTGTGTCTCCTGGTTTGTTTTTCGGCTGGATCGGTCCTTCTCTCTTTGTTCTCCACCTTATAACAGCTCCTCGAGGTCGGCCATCTTTTTCCCTGCTGATAGCCTGCAGACACAAAAAGATAGACCCACATCTGTCACCATACACTAAGATCCAATCTACATGGATAAAAGACCTAAACCTACATCCAGAAACCTTCAAACTCTTGCAAGAAAATGTTGGAAATACCCTGAAGGACCTAGGAGTAGGTCCTGACTTTCTAAGAAGGACGCCAAAAGCAATAGCAGTTAAGAACAGAATAAACAAATGGGACCTCATCAAACTAAGAAGCTTCTGTACAGCAAGGGAAACCATCAGCAAAGTAAAAAAGCAACCCACAGAATGGGAGAAGATCTTTGCGCACTAGGTAGGCGATAGTGGGCTAATCTCCAGGATATACAAAGAACTTCAAAACAACCAAAACACCAAAACAAACAAGCCACTCAAGAAATGGGCACGGGAAATGGGCAAACATTTCACAAAGGAACAAGCCCAAATGGCAAACAAACATATGAAAAAATGCTCCAGTTCCCTGGCAATAAGGGAAATCCCAATTAAGACATCGATGAGGTACCACCTAACACCAGTAAGATTGGCCCACATATAAAATAACACCAGCGACACTTGTTGGCGAGGATGCGGGGAAAAGGGAACCCTACTCCACTGCTGGTGGAGCTGCAAGTTGGTACAGCCTTTATGGAAATCAGTCTGGAGAACACTCAAACAACTCAAAATCTGCATACCATATGACCTAGCAATAGCACTCCTAGGAATATGTCCAAAACACCTGTTTTACGACAAACCAACATGCATCCCTATGTTCACAGCAGCACAATCAGTAATTGCAAAAACATGCAAGCAACCGAAATGCCCATCAGCAGAAGATTGGATAAGAAAGCTTTGGTTCATCTACTCCATGGAATACTACTCAGCTATTAAAAAAACAAAATGCAGTTCTTTGTGGCTAAATGGGCCCAACTGGAAACTATAATGCTAAGGGAAATGAGCGAATCCCAAAAGGTTACATACCACATGTTTGCCTTGCAAGAAAATGATTTAACCTGTAATTTTTGTTTGGTTGGTTGTTATTTTTTGAACCTGTCATTGATACTGTCTCAACCCAGATGTTTTGAAGAATTGAACTTGCATTATTTTTAACATATTGTTTACTCAATACTATGTCAATTAATTCCATAACATTGTTATATTGATGCTGATGTTTTGTTGGGGCTTTTAACTGACCGGATCTTTACTCTGTTAGCTCTACCTTCAGACCAGAGAGTGTCTCCCCAAGAGGCTACTGAACTTATCTGGACAATAAGATGCTGGACTTTATGCTAGGTATATGCTTGCAATGAAGGAATCTCAACTGAACTTGAACTGTGGTTATGCAGCAAGGTGGAGGAATCCACTATGGGGGAGGGATGTGGGAGGGGTGGGGGAAATCCCCAGTGCCTATAAAACTGTATCACATAATACAATGTTAATAACAATAAAAATATATATATAAAATAAATAATAAAAATGAAAGTCACCAAAATCGGTTTGAGAACACCGTGCATGGCTTCAGCTAACCCTTTTTTTGGCAAGTCCAGACTGCAGTGGATAATGGCAAAAAATTATGGTGGTGACCCAAAGTAGTGTAACAAATGAACTTAATAAAAATCTTGAGTTAGGAATTTGTGATTTGTGTGGCATTCATTTTTTGAATGAGTCACCTGTTCATTTTTGTGGCCTACAACACAGAGAAAAACAAGCACTGGTCTATGAGGTGTTGAAGGGATTTACCAGGGCTGCTCCAACTGAAGATAAATGCAAAGTGAGACAGTGACACTGTTTCCAACTTGTCAAAGCACAAGTATACTAAGAACATGGCCTCCACGTCCCAGATGCCATCTCGAGTGTGGCCAGTGCTCTGTCAGCTTTGGAGGTGGGAGGGGGAGCGAAGCCACACAGCTGGCCATTCCATTCTCAGCTTGCCACAGACCGGCAACTGGAAGACACTGACATAGTGTGTGTACCCCAAGCAGAGCAACTCACTCCAGGGAGCATGGGTTATACTTGTGGCTTTGCTGCTTCCCCAAAGGTATCATGGCTGCCCTCAGACCCCTGCTGAACCCAAGGTCATCAAGAAGAGGACCAAAAAGTACATCTGGCACCAGGCTTGCCACTATGTCAAAATTAAGCAGAACTGGCAGGAGCCCAAAGGCACTGACTACAAGGTGTGTGAGAGGTTCAGGGCCAGATACTGATGCCCAACAATGGTTACTGGGGCAACAAGAAGACAAAGCACAGGCTGCCCAGTGGCTTCTGGAAGTTCCTGGCGCATGACATCAAGGAGTTAGAGGTGCTACTCATGTGCAACAAATCCTGCTGTGCAGAGATTGCTCACAATGTCTCCTCCAAGAACTGCAAAGCCCTCAGGGAAATGGCAGCCCAGCTGTCCATCTGAGTCACCAATCCCAATGCTAGGCTGCTCAGCAAAGAAAATGAGCAGCAAGCTGGGTGCAAACTTTACATTTGTGCTCAAGTAAAACCCTGAAACCACCCCGCAAAAAAGTCTAGAGGGGAACAAAAAACAAACAAAGAAAAGAACTAGTCATAATTTTAACAAGAGGTGAATACTGATTTAATACCTAAAGGACCACAATTGTTTTCGTCATTCTTCACGTTCAAGTTTGTCTTGTCATTATTTTTAGTTGTGTCTTCTACAACGACGAGAGATGAAGACGGGTCTTTCACCTTTAGTAAGGGATCAGTTAGACATTTGATGTTGAGCAAAAAACAAAACAAAAGAAAAAGGTGAATGACTTACACTAGTGTATTCATTATTTCTTTCAAGACTTCTGTACGTATTTATTTGACAGTCAAAGGACAAATAGGAGGAGACAGATACAGACACACTCTTCTATTCATGGGTTTGCTCCCTAAATTACTGTAACATTGTGAAACCAGGAGTCACAGCCTCCATCTGGGTCTTCCACACAGCTGGCAGAGGTCCACGGAATTGGGCCATCTTTCGGTAGCCTTTCCAGGTAAGTTAGCAAAAAGCTGTATGAGATGCTAATGTATGTGGCAGCTTCACCTACATATGACAATGCCAGCCCAACTTTACAACTTGTGGATGTACAAGTACAGTTTTTGAATGAATCTACATAGGGTGGGTATTTGGCACAGTGGTTAAGGCACATCTTGAGGGCTCAGTGCAGTAGTCTAGTGGCTAAAATCCTTGCCTTGCACACACCAGGATCCCATAAGGACACTGGTTCATGTCGCAGCTGCTCCACTTCCCATCTAGCTCCCTGCTTGTGGCCTGTGAAAGCAGCTGAGGAAGACCCAAAGCCTTGAGACCCTGCACCAGCATGGAAGACCCGAAAGAAGCTTGAAGCTCCTGGCTCTTGGCTTCTGGTCAGCTCAGCTCTGGCCATTGTGGCCGCATGGGGTGTGAATCAGTGGACAGAATATCTTTCTTCATCTCCTTCTCTCAGTATATCTGCCTTTTCAATAACAATAAATAATTTTTTTTTTGAAAAAGACACCCCCTGAGACGCTCATTCTCCATCTAAATGTCTGGATTCCCATTCTGACTCTATCTCTTGATTCCAATTTCTTGCTAGTTCCCTTCCATGAACACCACCACCTCACCAGCGGGCAGTTCAGGTAGATGTGTCCCTGCCACTCCTCTCAGATGGAGCTCCTGACTGCTGGCTACAAGGCCCAGCCAAGGCTCTTCTGGGTTCTAAAGAGAAACAGCAAGTGGGAAAGCTTTATGTAAGTCTATCTCTCTCTGTCTCTCTCCCTTTCACACAGGTAGAGAAGCTGTAACATATTATTAGCTATTAAGTGCTCCAAGATAAAACCAGAACTAGTGATTCCTACATGGAAGATCTCATAATGGCTCATTCTTGCTAAATATTTATTTTTAAATGGTAAAATGCTTCATATGACATAATTATCTGCTAGAAATAATAGTGATCATTAACCCAAGGATACATTTGATAGAATTATGAAATCTGTGTTATAAAGATTACAAATTTTAATGTATTCAAAACAAAACAGAACGAAGTGAGGAGTTCAACTGAGATAAAACACATTCTTAAGAATCCAAATTAGAGCATAAGAGGGCTCCCAGTATTGGGTATTTTTTTTTCCCTTTGGAAACAGATTTTCCAGAACTGTAACCAAAAAAATCAAAGGACTGAGCCATGTATTTCTCTGGAAAGACCCACCTAAATCTATTCTGCTCTACAGTTGCCATGCTTCCATCCCTTCACTCTTTAGAATTTGAGGCACAAACAACAGGGCCTTCAGATTTGAGCACAGTTCAGGGTTAGTGTCTCATTTTTGTTGCGTTTATCGTGCATTTCAAGGTCTTTCAATCTTTTACGCTTAGGCAAAGAATTAAACAATACATTTATCACTTGGTGTCCACAAGTGGAAGGTTCCAAGGACCAACCATCCAACTCCTAAATGCCAACATCCACAGCTACTCAAGGCTCTTATACTCTGCAGTGCAGTATTCAGGTACAATCTACACATACCTATATTTTAACTCAGTTCTATACTGCTACTAATGCTAACTCTGTGACAGAAATTGTGGTAGCACTATCGAGAATAATGACAAGAAAACATTCTGTCAGACACAATTCATTTGGTTTTCAAATATTTCTGATCTATGGTTTGCTGAATCGATAGCTGTGGAATATGTGGGTGCAGAGGGGAAGATTATGACACTAAGAATAGTTTCAAGATCCCAGTCTAGCAATTTAATTCATCATTTCCCATAGCAAGGATTTGTTTGCAAAACTTTTTTTTTGGCATGTAAAACTTTATAAATTTCCATGTTAAAATAAAATTCCAGCCAGCTCAATCATACAAATCAGAGGAGTCATTAACCTCAAAGAGGCCTCGTGCATCCCTCAGAAGTTGTTTTCTGCGTATTTTAGTGTTTTCAAGTCCTATTTGTGCTTCATCAGCAGCTTTCCGTAATTTTTCTTTCCATGGTCCAGGTTCTTCTGAAAGCTGAAATTGAAACAAAAAATTTCACTCATCATGCACGTTTGTAAACAGATGAATTCACAAGGCTGGTGGTGTCATTAACAGACATCCAAAAAGGCAGTTCTGCTACTTCCAGGAAGGAAGAAGACTCCTATTACGAAGAATTTCCAAACTGGGATAGTTCAAACAAGACTAAAGTATTCTTCAACTGACTTACATATGTTTATCACATAAAAGGCTTACTGAGACAAACACACAAGTACCTCAAAGAGTTCATGGAGAAAAACTAGGGACAATATTTGGTCACTAAAAATGCTTTAAAATCCACGCAAACTTTGGATACTACGAATTTTTCCATAAAACTGTTAATAACACTAAGATCAGGCCTCTACTTAAGGGGCCTGCATCCCATGTGGCTATCAATTCAAGTGCTGGCTGCTCTACTTCGGAGCCAGCTCCCTGCTTATGTCTTGGGAAAGCAGTGCAGGATGGCTATGTTCTTGGGCCGCTACACTCATGTGGGAGACTCAGAAGTAGCTCCAGGCTCCTGGCTGAAGACTGGTCCAGGTCCTGCGGTTGCAGCCATTTGGGTAACAAACCAGAGTGGAAGTTCTCTCTTTCTGTCGCTACGTGTCTCTCTGTAAATCTCCCTTTCAAATAAAAGTAAGTCTTAAGAAAATGGAATTAAAACAAATCATTGGATTTGTTGACTGGGTGCTAGCTAACACATTGCTGAAAACATGAAGTGACATTCAGTCTTAAAGCATTAGTGAACAATCATATTACAATGTTTTATTCCAGTAACAATTAAAACCACAGAAAGTAGTTGTAACAAGCGATGTTATATAATTAATTTTGTATATAAATATCTAGTTTTGATTTGATCACAAGCTTAACACAGGCCTGACTTGTTTTTGACACCAAGATGGCAAAAGACTGGTGCTTTGTTATGTTAGAGGCATAAACCCATAAGGTATTATACGAAATGCATCAAAGATGCATAACTCTCTTTGAGAGTTATGGGTAGATAGACAGGAAACAAAATTATTATTAATATTAGAGAAAATGTTGACAGAAGGTAGACAGAAAATGCAATCATATTAAATGATCCAGATAAAGCATTTAGAGTCATAGTAATGCAATTACTGCAAAGTTTCTTGCTGAATAACTATAAATTGATTGGGGGAAAAAAGGAAACGGAACACATGAGAATCTGTGTGTCTTGCCTATATAAACAGGGAGAAAAAGGATACATGTTCAGTCCTCATTTGAACTACCTCCAGGATCCATTTTGCCTCGAAGCCCCGGATAAGCAACAGGTGCTAAACGCTATTTGCTGTGATTGCCTAAGTGTCAAACACCCTGGTTTACTTTCACTCCGAGGAAAGAGAACCAGAAGAATATACACTTGTGCATCCCTATCCAAAACACACAGTTACAAGAGTGCAATGGAAGTACCCTACCGTGATATTAAGTAGAAAAACAAAAAACAAAAACCACCCTGCTCTTAACATGTGGTTGGTCACAAGGATGCCCAAAGCTCTTCTCATTACATACTTGAAAGCAAGATTCACTTAGAGTACAAACCTGCAACAGTTCTTGGTGAAGCTGCACATTTTCATTGAAAACCTTCTCTAGTTCTGCCTTAATTGCCTCATGAATAATTTGAAATGGTCTGGTCGTTGTTGTAGCCTAAGTAGAAAAAAAAAAAAACATTAGGTCAATAACAACATAATACAATGGTTTATCTTCATGGACTCCCTGGAATCTTTATGTGGATAAAGGCCAAAGCATTCCAACACGTAGCAACATGGCAGTGTACCTACCAACACGGCAGCAAAATGCCAGCAGAGGTGTTCCAGAATAGCAGGAAAACAGAGCAAAGAATCAAGTACAGCTCTGCCACTAATCTGCCATGTGACCTTACACAAATGACAGCCTGTTATCAATGGCCACGTATTGCATAGCAGATTTTACCAACTACGTATTCTGTATATCCGCCACTGAAAGTCAAACTGCATGAGGGTTTTTTTTCTGTCTTAATATGTTAAATAGCAATCACCTTCAACAAGTTTAGTAGAGCAACAGCTTTTCAAATATTTGTATACTATTATAAACTTTTCTGAAATGCCTTATGGGTGCATGCATATATATAATATATATATATATATATATATATGGAAATTGAAGATCTAACTCTGAAACCCTAACATTATATAGTATTCCTGAAAAATAAAAACAAGAACTAAATTTAAATTATTTCAAAAATAACAGAGCTACAAGTGTTAGACAAATTCAACTTACGTCAGCAATTTGTGAGTTGAGGGACTTTCTTCCATCTTTTAGGGCCTGTAACGCTGGTAAAATCTTTGCCACCTGCAAAGAAAGTATCAGTCAAGAGACAAGTATTTACTAAGCCCTTGCAGTTTCCAAAACGCAGTATCTCAACTTTGACACTTCCCAACACTTAACTTACCCAGGGCTCATCACTCCATGCACAGCAGATCTGACTAACTAAACTCACATCATGATTCCCCTTGCTTGTCCTGACCAAACATTTTAAGTAATAAAAACTATCCAGTGTGTATGTGATCATTCAACTTTGTAAAATTATTCATGTAAGCTACATTGGCATTGTTTAGAAAGTTCTGTATGAAAACATGGGGGGAAAAGCCCACTTTATATATGGAATCTAAGAAAGGAAAATGGTGGAGGTGGAAAATGTTGCTCTTTCTTTTATGGCCTCTGTATTCCTTACCTTTTCGTACAGTACATGATATACTTTAGTCAATACCATTACTTTTTGAAATCCCATAAGCATTCTTTTTGTAGCATTTTCCTTAAATACAAAACAAAAAGCCTTACCAATTCAGGTCGATCACATTTTTCCAATTCTTGTTCAAATTGTTTTTCAACGGAAAGAACTTTATCGTCCAGCTTAGATTTGCAAATCTTCAGCTGTTCATTGGTTGCCTAAGAAAAAAGCCAACTTGGTAAGACAGATGTGGGAGCTTTCAGTTAGGGGAAGTCAGGTGACTTCAACCAAACATATGTAGTATTAGCTAAATCTGTTCATAGATTCTGATGATTTTCAGAACAGTAAGATCTTAGCAATTCTAGTGGGTGCCAACAATCTTCTTCATAGGCAAAGTATAAACATTTAGGGTGAAATAACCTAATTGAGTATATTAAATAGTGTCATCAAATCAGAGTTAAACACAAATCAAGATTTGATATTTGATATGAATTACAATAATTGTGCAATTAAAAAAAGTTAAGTGATTAATTATTCCAACTGAATTTTAACCACTATACTAAACGTCTCTGCTATTCACGACCCTTCAACGAAGTTGTGTAAAACTGAAAACCAAAATCAAAGAATGTAAACAGGCAAAAATAAAAGGAGAAAAGCTCTATGTTTTGCTGCTGAAAAAAAACTTGTTTTTCCTATGTCTCTAAATTTAGCTGTTGTTGCAGCAATTCTCTGACCTGAGTTAGAGTTACTCTACTGGTTTATTTGTATCTATAGATTCTACTGCTAAATTTCTTAACATTCTACCACGTACTTTGCGTTCAATTATTACTACTATTCCAGAAAATAAAGACTGTGACTTTTCATTCTGCTATGTTACACAACTGCATCGTCTTCACAACAAGCTGGTATATTTCATTATTTCATTTTGTCTACACATACAACCCAGCTTGAATAAATGTGCTTGCTATTGAGTTTTTTCTGTTCTGTTAGCATGCCAAATGCTTTCTAAAATTCTCCCAATTGATCAAAACTCTAATCAATTACTACTGGGGCAATAACTTTAAGTGGTAAGCAAATACATATGGTTATTTTTGATAGTAGCTAACACAAGAAGAAAGGATTAATACATGTACCATATTTGTGACCCAATTTATACCATCAGCATCTTGCATCTGTGCTCTCTGGTTTTGACTTTTCAATCTTTAAGCAGCAGTGAGATTCTCCAGTCACTTAGCTGAATACATCTTAATTTAGCTAAAATCGAATGGATTTTCCTTATAAGGAGTTGAATCACACCAGGCTCAGGAAAGCTGGATCATAAAAATACTCCTCATTCAGTAACCTCAGGTTGGTAACTTGAGACTGGCCAGGTTGGGAACCTTTTTTTTCTTTCTTTCTTTTTTTCCCCAGAACTCAGCAAGTGATTTTTGGAGAGCCAGTTCTGAAACACTTAGCAGCACATCAATATTTATAATGTAACTTCTGATCCAATTCCGAATAATTCCTAATATTCTTGAGGATTACATCTAGGCCAATACCATGACACAATTTCGATAATTCATTGTTGCCAACTAGTCCTAAATTTGTTTGAATGAATCCTTTGTCTCTCTGTGTAGTAAACTGAGTCCAAAAAAGGAAAGGTCACTTCACAGATTTTCCAAGAAGGAAGAACAAAGAGCTTCTACAGAGCTCTCCTACGAGCTGAATAGGCGTCACTCAAAACATGTACTACCAACGGTCTATTTCCAATATGTAACCATTTGTAAGTTATAAAAACTACCATATTTTTTCATATTTCTTTGAAACAGAGTTTGCTGACAACATAGTATCTTTAAAGTCTATGTTAGTCAGCAACACTCCTCGCCCCAGCTTTCAAAATGAAGTCATTTGGTGTCTTTAACTTCAAAGTTTGCACTTCTTCAGAATCCTCAAAGCTGGCATCTTGCAAAGATCGCTCTAAGCTTTCATACTGAAACAAACCAACACCGTGAGCACAAACTATAAATCATTCAAATAAAGATTTTTTTCATTTGTTTGGAAGGCAGGGCTTCACACAGAGAGAAAATGAAAACATCAATTTGTAGCAGAATTTGAAACATCATCAAAGTAAGCCAAATCAGAAGAGAATTGAAACACATATATTGAGGGAAGGGCTCCTTTATAAAATATAGAAAAAAAACACTTAGCAAAAAGAAAAATACAAATATACTTTCTTAAATTTGAAAAGGTAAGTCCATAAAACAGAAAATCAAATGAGCTAAAAAATATAAGAAACTCATTAGGACAACATGGAGTAAATCCACAATGGGACCACATCACTTCTAACAAAATGGCTAAAATTAGTAAGATTTGTTAAGCATTGAAGTGAGGAACAGCATAATGCCCATACACTCCAAATCAACTGTTTACACAAAACTATCTACATATAAATACTATTTCCTGACTCTAATTATTTTTGTTTTCAAAACTCTTACCTCTTTTTCTAGAAAGTTAGGTTTGTCAAGTAGATCACAATTTTCTTTTATTAGTCCAGAGTGTTCTACAGCAAGCTTTTTCTTTTTTACTAAAAAAAAAAAAAAGATAAAATGTAATTTAAAAATTTTATGCAGAAAACTGATGAGACCTAAAATAGGAAAAAGACTGCTTACCTACATAAAGCCTGCTTGCAATCTGAAACAAATTTTTAACAAAAAAATATGTTAAGGCAAATATATATATAGTTACTAAGCATATGTAAATTTAATTTTACCTCTGCCAATTAAATATTACAAGTGATTTCCGCAAGACAAATGCTCTAATGAGAAAAACTACACATTAATGTCCTCTTATCAAAAATTTAAAGTATATATTATGTCAACAGCTCTGAAATGGTTTTTGGTAAAGATTCCTGTTTCATTTCACTCCGCCTATTGTTCCCTAAACATATTTGGCCCTAAGACAAATGTTTTCAGGCAATTCTATTATCATAGCTCCTAATGCTAATACTCAAACCTGAGAAATATTATCAATTGGACACATGTCTCAACTACTCTAAAGAAAACAGTAAAGCAAATCTTCTTCTTCTTTGATCTTTCTCTTTAACAAATAATAAAGCAAGGGAAAAATCCAGTTTAAGAGCTTAGTGAGGGCTGAAAGGTAAGATAAAAGGAAACGGAATTCATCTAGAGAATAAGGATACAGATAAAATTAAACAAGAAAAAGCAGGCTACAATACAATCCTACAAATGTAAACAAATATAAAGTAAACTAGTAAGTCAGAACATTATTTGGGGAAGCTCCTCAAGCTTAAAGGAAAACCAGGTGGCCAAAACGATGGCCCAACTGTCTAATCCTTTGCCTGCTAGAACTCAGCATCCCACACAGATGTTAGTTCTTGCCCTGGTTGCTCGACTTCCCACCCAGACCCAGCTCCATCCTTATGGCCTGGATGCTCGATTCAAACTTCCTCCAAACTTGATAAACAACAACAACAACAAAAACAAAAAACAAAAAAAGCACTGAATGATGGTCCAAAGTCTTGGGACCTTGCACCCATGTGGGACGCACAATAAACTCTTGGATCCTGGCTTCTGATCAGCTCAGTCCCTGCCAGCATCACCTATGGTGGTGACATTATTGAGAGTGAACCAGCAGATGCAAAATCTTCCTCTCCCTCTTCTTGTTTCTGCAAATCTATTTTTTCCAATAAAAAATAAATCTTCAATAAAAGTAAAAACTGAAAAAATAAAAGGAGAGCCAATATCTGAACAATAGTACTTCAAAAAGAGAAACTGACTCTTAAATGGAGAGATTTCTCCAAATTGACATAAAGACAATCCTGAGTCTAGAGAAGTCGAAAAGACAAAGGAATTTTATGGCTAGACACATGATACTGAAATCAGAACATCAAATGCAAAGACGCTCAAAGGGCCGCCACAGTGCCACAGTATGTTACGCTATCACCTGTGATAGCAGCATCTCCTATGGATGCTGGTTGCTCTATTTCAGATTCAGCTGTCTGTGAATGCATCTAGGAAAGCAGTGGGAAGTGGCCCATGTTCTTGGGCCCATGCCACACACCTGGGAGAACGGATGAAACTCCTGCCTCCTGTCATCTTTGGCCTGGCTCAGCTTCACTGGTTGCAGCCAAAATTTGGGGACTGAGCCAGCAACTGAAAAATACCTCCCCCCTCCCTCTGTCTTCATCCACCCTCCAACTATGCCTTTCAAAGAAATTAATTAATTAATCCTGCTTTCCCCACACCTTTTAAAATTCTTCGTGGTCCTGTTTATGTAAATGCTGAAGAAGTCACAGACACATCCAGGGATAGATGTGCAGAGTGAGGAAAGGGGGAGAGAGAAGTTTGTATTTTCATCTATGTCCATCAGGACAGTGAGTGCACCCCTTCCTATTGCATGGCTTCTTGTGACCCAGAGAAGGAGAGTGGTTACATGCCAACACCCTCAGCTCCAAGTGAAAGGCGACTGGCTGGGAGAAAGGATCAGCTACTCCAGCTCCAGTCCAAGTCCTTATTATTGACATGGGAAGCAGCTAATGGTTGCTCAAGAACTTGAGTTCCTGTCACATATGGGAGAGACACTGATGCAATTGCTGGCTCCTGGCTTCCTTCTGGCCCAGCCCTCAGTTACTGCAGCCACTTGAGGAATAAATCAGCCAGTAGATTGCTTTTCGCCTCTCGCTCATTTACTTGAAAGCATCAAATAAATAAGCTTTCTTTTTTAAGTGGAAGAAGTTAATAAACTATGCTCGAAGAAACTAAATACATCAATAATCATTCATCATTATGATAAACTGCTCAACTTGACCTACTGATTGAAAACTGTATGGGTAACATGGCCACATCCCAAACTAGAGGGCCTACATTCAATCTCCAGCTCTACTTCCTGCCTCCACAGCCCTACCAATACAGACCACAGGAGGCACTAGTAGGGCCATGCTACTCATGTGGGAGACTCTGAGTTCTCAGCTCCCAACCACCCTGCCCAGCCCTGGCTGTTGGAGGAATCTGAACAGTGAAACAGCAGATTGGCCATTTCTTTTGGTCTGTCACCCTGTTTCTCTCGCTCTTTCAGCCACTTGAATCAACTTTAAAAAACAACAGGGGAAGAACTAAAAGTATTTGGGTATTAATACCATAGAAAACTTCTCCAAGGACATTCTTTCAAAATTTTATACTTAAAAACTTGCTCTATACCCCTTCTGTTTTATCTTAGACATATATGTGATTTTGCTTTCTCAAAAAATACAAATTTCTTACATTAGTTGTTCAACTTAAAGACAGAACCAACATTTTTGAATACAGCATTGTTTACTTACAAATTGAAAAATTCTCCATATAAAAATGCAAATGAGAACAAAAGTAATGGCTGGACGTATATCGCAACCCCATAGAAATCCATGGGGATGATCTCTTTGTCCAGCATCCTCAGGTACTGTAGGAACAACCTTCAAGACAAAGAAAACTCAGTTCTTACAAATGCAATTGAGGCAGTAAACAGAGATCCAAATCTATATAGCCAACTCCATTATTTTCCTTTCAGGAAACGGGCTGTAGAATCATAACAAATAGAAGGCACCACAGGAAATCCTTCTGCAAACTTCTACCTACTATCACTCAGTGAAAAAGAAGCACGATAGAGAGAAAAGCAGGAATTTCTCAAACTGGATTCAAATACAAGCGCCCCCACACCTTCCAAATGATGGGACAGGAACAGAGAAGGCCACAGAAAGAAGCTGAGTAATGTAAGTTCAGCTACTTTCCTTTTTTTAAACACCAAATTGGGTTTTATATATATATAAAGTATATTATATTCTCCGTGAAAAGATTTCCCTACTGGAAAGGAAAAAAAAAAGTTATCTGAAGCTTTCAAATGAACTTTGAGGTGTGGTTCTTTTGTTTAATGATTAAGATTACATTCCACAGAATTGCCTTGCTCAATTCCCAGTCCCAGCTCCTGACTCCAGCTTGCTGCTCATGCAGAATCGAGGAAGCAGCAATGGCTCCAGTAACGGAGGTCCTGCCCCCACAAGGGAAAGCCAAGTTGTATGCGTGACTCCCTGACTCAATCTTCACAACTCTCAAACAAATATTTCAATTAAAAAGTCTAAAAGTCACTGACAGTACTTTGGGTTTAGAGTTCTTGTTTAAAAAGAGTCATTTTGTTGACTTGGGAGGTAGAGTGAAAGAGAAAGAGTCAGAGACTTCTCTCCACTTCCCCAAATGGCAAAAACTGGCAGCTAGGTCTGGTCGAAGACAGGTGCCTAGGACCAGATCTAGGTCTCCCACATGGGATGCAGGAGTCCAAGCACATGGCCAGCTTCTGTTGCTCTCCTAGGTGCATCAGAGGAAGTGGATCAGAAGTGGTGCAGCCAGTATTGCAGTGTGGGAGGGCAATGTCATGGGAGGTAACTTTATCAGCGATGTCACAATTCTGCCCATGCGTTTAGATTCTGAAGCCCTGCACTCCAACTCTATGGGTTTCTCCTGTTATCTAGGAGGGAATGATCTATTTTCACACCCGGGAAATTGAAAGGGAAGCTCTATTTTTGGCCCTTCATGGTTGTGATGCCATAACTGTGACCTTGGAAATCACTTCTTCTCTCCCATTGGTCTTGAGCAAAATACAGCTCAAGACTTTCAACCTGGTTCTGTAGTTCAACTCTCTCTGGATCAAGCCCCAGATGCCACTTTACGAAAAATAAAGCACACAGGCAGGGAAAAGAAGAAGATGACAAATGCACTTTAAAGAGCAATCTGAACTACAGGCTTAGTTCTTTCTGGGCTTCAATCCAAAATCTCTATAGCAAATTTTCCTTCGGTAGACAGTAGACCTTTCTGCCTAAGGGGGGAAAAAACTTACCAAGTATTCTCCCCTCCAAGATCTTTTTTATAACTCTAATCCTCGCAGCCAGGCTGCTCTCTATATATTTATTTAATATACACCAAGTAAATAAGCCTGATAAGTTTTTTGAGAGGCAGAAAAAGAATTAGTCCTCTCGTTGGGATGCCTAGATTGCCAGAGCCAGAAAGCTGGCAGTTTTACTCCAGATTCCTTCTTTCTCTCATCCTTCATATCTAATAATGAAGTAATACTCATTTTAACTTTTAGTGCCTAACTATGTGCCTACTCACTATTTCCTCCTCTAGCCCTACCACTCTGTTTTCACTTCAGTTCTATCTTGAGTTTTGCTTCTCTGACATCTAACCTACATCCTTACCTAGGCTCAGGAAGGCCCAAGTCTAACTCCCGGAAAGGCTTCAACCAGCTCCCCAACACCTACAGCACTTGGACTCTATGTCCCTAGCAAGCACGCCAACACATCAGTTCCTGAGCCCACTCTCCACTAACACAGCTGCTTTTCTCTTCATGCACCACTGTGCTTCATGCCTCCACTGCTTAAACCAGCTCCTCAGCCTAAAGACTTCCCTCATCCAAGAAAATACCATCTCTTCCAACCTTCAATTTCCCTAGCAGGTTGTGTGTATGCTTCAGTAAGCATTTGATTCTTTATACTAGTGTTTTATACTCATTTTTGTCTTCTCTCCCCCTGCACAGCTTGATGCTGGTGCTCAGACAACAAACACACACACACACCTACAGTACAATAAATGAATAAACAGAATAATTACAACTGCCTCAATGTTTAAATGGTCTTCTAAAACAATAAGAGTGTGTAATAAAACATGGCAAGAGAAATACCACTTAACATGCCAACAACTACTACCATGAATACTGAAGCAGGAAAAATCTATTACCTAATAATAAACTGAAGCTAACAAACAAACAAACAAACAAACCTCTGGGAATTCATAATCGCTATCCTTTAACAATATCATCTCTGTTAACAAGACAAAGATAAAAGAGGGTAAACAATCTCACTTAAAAGCATCTCTCAGGGGCACTCTTTATTGGAAGATGATGAATTATAATCCCAAACTCTGAAGCTAGCTCAGCTGTCCTTTCAAGACAAGAGATTTCATCACTACATGGATTTAGGGATTTCTGCCCTTAACTTTGTCAGAGTTGGAAGGACCATGTGTCACTGACCCCCGCTCAAACTTTAAAACAAAAAGGCTACTTCATTTGGAACTCAAGAACCATTCCCATACTTTGTGTTGTCCAGTAGACCAAGTTCCTGATACCCAGGTCCTGCTCTACCACAGGAGCAAACCACACAATACACCTGGCCACAGTGAGGGCTGGCCTCAGACCCTGAGACCACACTGGCTCAGATTACATAACCCTGAGGGCACCCAGACTCACTTCATGTAGCTCATCCTGGAACCACCCCACATATAAATGTGGGGTGGCCCCGGGGGGCTCCATCCACGGAGAAGAGGGTTAAATATCCACTACCACCATCCACAGCCTCCGTGGAAAGAATACTGGCTTTGTTTACAATCCACTCCTGGCAACTGGAGCGTACCACTGCAGAGCCAGCTATGGGGGACCAGGGAGAGCCAGGGAACATGGATCCCACAGGCCTGTGGTGCCACAACACACAACTGCTAGGGCATCATGATGGCCCCTTTGGTACACTTTTTATCCCAGCATAATACAGGTCTGAACCCATCCCACCAGAGCCTGTGACACACCCTCTCGCCACCAGCTCACCCCTCCTCATAAATGGAATAGTCCAACTGCCACTGGGAGTCACCCTCCATCTTGGTGGAAGGCTCTCTGAAATGGGCAGGTGCTATACCTGGGGAGGCCCCACACACCCAGAAAATAAAAGTGTTTGGGCCTGGAGAATGGAACGGGGCCTCAGGCCCTGTGCTGTAGTTTGGGCTATACAGCCAGGAAGGTTGGGGCTGTGGCGCAGACACTCAGGACTTGGGAAGCTGTGGTGGTCACTGCCAAGCTCTTCCCAAGGTCCTCGTGGTGCAGTTCCATGAGGTGACTGCAGTGTGCCCCCTTGACCCGGCAGCTAGCCAGCCCAGGCCTGAGCCTCAGCAGCTGATCCACGGTAACGGAGGCAAATCATGAGGATAGCCCGTCAGTGTCCAAGTGCCATTAGGCAGCTAGCTGGTCTATCATGACACTCAAAGGGTGGGAGGAATCTGGGAGCTCCATTCCACATGTGCCCACCTGGGAAAAAGGCTGGAAGGGACCACCCACTAACAGGCATCCTCTTGCCTTCTGAGGATATGGCACCTGTGCACTTCCACTCGGAGCCCTGACCCAGTCCAGGGACCATGCCAAAGGACAGAGGCAGGAAGCCTCATTTCTGATGCAAAACCCTGGTCTCTCCAGTCCTGGGTTTCCACAGCACTCACCTGCCCATTGCCTGTCCCTCTGTACAGATCAGGACCCAGAAAACTCTACTGAAGAAGTGGCTGAGAGAATGTGGCATGCAATGCTTGCTTGCTGGACTCCCTGCAGAAACAAACGAGGTTGGTTAGGGACACTTTTGTCCACCATGCCTCCTTATTCGATCCATTCCCTGAGACACTTCTTCATCCAAGGTGGACATCCCACTTGGCAGAGCAAGCAAGCAAGCGTGATCACCTGCTCTGGGGGTTGCTGGGCCAAGGGGGATGTCCATCCCAGAACTAAAAGGCCTCTGCCTTGTGAGCCATCCCTGTAGCCAGAGAACATGGACTCAGGAGGTCATCCTTTACCCACACATCCCTGTAACGTAAGACCATCCCCACATCCTCATGCTCCGGTCACACAAGGTTATCTATGGAACTGAAGGCCAATGTCATGTGAAGTCATCCTAGGCCACAGTTCTGTCACACAAGGTCATCATTGTACTCACAGACCCAGTTGTTAGAGGCCACCCTGCATCTACAGATCACACACCCATCAAGTCACCTCTGCATCCAAACGACCTGTCTGTCACATGAGGCTATCACTGCATCCAAAACCACTCTCATTGTGTGACCCTCCCTGCACACACAGGTCACCATCATGTGAGGCAATGCCTGCACACAAGACAAATGTCATGTGAGGCCTTAACTGTATACACAGGTGCTGTCACATAAGGTCATCCTGATCCAACAGCCCCTGTCACATGAGATCATTTCTGCACAATAAGGCCCCTGTTGCATAAACCCTTCCTTGCAACCAAAAGTTCATTTCATGCAGGACCATGCCTGCATCCAAAACCCCTTTGGGTCACTCAAGACTGTAACTGATCCGACAGACACTTGCTTTCTAGGCATTCCCAGAAAACACAGGGACCAATTTTTGATGCCATGCTGGATCACAGCACCAAGTTGCAGGAAGCCATCAGGCACACACAGCCTCTGTCAGAGGAGGACACATCTACAACCAATGGCCAAGGTAGTGCAAGGCCATGCTGCACCTACAGGTCCTTCTCGCAAGAGGCCATCCTGGCACACTTAAGTCCATCCTGACTACATGGACCCTGGACCTACAAGGTCATCCAACAACCCATTAAGACCTCTCATGCAAACACAGGCCACAGATATATAAAGATGTCACTTCATCCACAGGCCTTGGACGTATAAGGCCATCTCCACAAGAGACGTCCCAGATATGTGTTGTAATCCCTATACCTACAGCTCACTGTTGCATGAGGCAGTCTAAGCACCCAAAGACCCTGCATACACACAGTCATCCCCACACCCACAGGCACCATTGGTTGAGGCCATCCCTGCACCCACAAAAATGATGGGTGAGGTCATCTTTGACCCCACAAGCCCTGCACCAACGAGGCTATCCCCACATGCATAGGCCCTGGACACATGAGGCCACCCCTGCTCCCTCAAATCCTTGTCATTGTGGCAGATCCTGCACCCACCCATGGCATGAGAGGCTGTCCTGTACCCACAGGACCCAGGAGGATTAGGTTGTCCCTGAACACAGAGGCCCTCAACATGGGAGCTGTCAACACATGCATGGACTAAGGTTTACTAGCCCTACCCCACACCCACAAGATTTTTAAAAGGCAAGGCTGTCCCTGTACCCAAAAGTCCCTTACCCTACAGCCCACAGGCTCCCATCACACAAGGCTGTCCTGAACATACAGGCCATGCACACAGAGACCGTACTTGCACCTATGAGCCCAACACATGAGGCCTTCCTTGCACCCAAAGGCCTCTGTAGCATGAGAGGCCAACCCACACCCATGGACACCTTTTGTACAGTGCTGCCTCCCTCCCATCCCCGCCCCCGCCTGCCTCAGGCCTTTAGCATGTGAGGCCACGCTGAACCCAAAGGCCCCTGTTACGCAAGGCCATCTCTTCATCCACAGAACCCTGTCAATGCAAAGCCATCTCTGAACCCACAGGCACCAGATGGTGAGCTAATCCACACACATGGGCCAAAATCACACCAGGGCTGCCCCGCACCCATAGGCCCTGGCATGGCAACGCCAACCCACTTCCAAAGGAACCTGACACCAAACTCCACAGGCTCATGTGGTGGGATACCATCCCATACCCACAGGCCCGTGTCATACAATGCCATCCTTGCAAGCTCAGATCCCTCTTCTGCGAGACCACATCTATACTCACAGGACCCAGATGGGTGAGGCCATTACTTTACCCAAAGGTCCTGTTGCATGAGGCCTTCTCTGCCCCCATAGACCCTTGTCTTAAAAGACCATTTCTGCAACCACAGGCCAGGAAGCCTGAGGTTATCTTAGTGAAGATCTCTTCTGGTCAAGCCTGCTGGGAGTTCTCTGCCCCTCCTAGATGTTGTTTCCCAATTCTTTCTCTAGATTAGGGAAATTTTCCTTTATTGTTTCATTAAACACATTTGCAAACTCAGCTTCTCTTTCTGCACCTTCTGGGACTCCCATAACTCTTATATTTGGTCTCTTAATACTGCCTTTCTAAAATTGTTCTGCAGTAAAGAGAAGTTAAAAGAATTTGCCTCTTTCAAACCTGCCCTACAAATGACACTTCAAGATGTTCTCTTGACAGAGAAGAGGACTAGCACCAAACAAAACCAAAGGCAAATAGGAAGAATATCCCAGTAAAATGACAACAGAAGACTAAACCAACGAACAGCCCATTCCTAAAATGACAGGACCAAAGTACCACCCATACATATTAATCTCCGAATGTAAACGGTTTAAGCTCAATCAAACATCATAGATGAGTAGACTGGATTAAAAAACAAAACCCGTCTGTCTATTGTCTGGAAGAGACACACTTCACCAACAAAGATCAGCAGAAACTATGTTGCATGGGTTTTGTTCTTTTGTGTTGGTTTCATCTCTTCAAAACACTTTCTTCTGATTAAATCATTCAATGACTCGTAGAACATGCAGTGGCATCAATTTCTTCAAGAAGGTTCATGATTTTCATTTCTTCAGCTACATGTTAGTCATTTAATAGCATGTTGTTTAACTTCATGGTGTTGTTAATATCCTATTTCTCCCTGATGTTGATTTTGTTTTTTGGCTCTTCAATTAAGGGGCTGTAGAGTAGTTGTGTAATGGAGACAGTCATATCCAGTAACATGTCATTTAACTTCCTGGCATTGTAAACTTCTAATTATTCTATTGTTGACTTTGTATCATGACTTTCTATTTAAGGGGATGTACACTACCTGCAAAATGGAGACTAACATCCAGATGTGAGGATGCAGTGTAGGATGCATTTCTGCCTCCAGTAAAAGATGGACTTAAAATGAAACTGTTTTACTATATCTTGACAATAGGATTCTGGACTCTGCCATTGTCCATGCCTGCAATGATGGACATATGACTGTGTATGAAGAACTATATGTTAGTAATGATATAGAGGAACTAGGTGGGGGGAGGGAATTGGGGAGGGGATAAGGGAAATGCCAGGAGCCTATGGAACTGTATCATAAAATGATAATAATAATAAAGTGTAAAAAAAAAAAAGAAAAAAATTGACCACTAGAGCATAAGGCTGTTGTCGCATAGCACTACCAACATTCTACCTCTGGCTTCATGCTGGCAGGCTCATTCACCTGCTCAACCCAGAAACTCACACTCTTGACCCCTGACATCTCCTTGCTCAGACCGACACTCCGGGGGGGCCTGTCAAACAGTGCCTGGTAAAGTAGCCTTAACCACAAAAGACCACCTTCATCTTACTGTCATCCCAGACATGCCAAGTCCAAATCTCCCTTAGGGTAATCTCCAATGGCAGCAGGATCCTGGAAGGCTATTTCTCACATCAGCTCCACTGTGAGTCAAAGTCTGCACTACACATGGCCCAGCCAGTAACTCCATGCCAGCTGTCCACACAGCAAAGTCCTTCATTTATGCAAGGAAAGGACCTCGTTTTCTCCAATTAGTAAAGACCTAAATGTGCTCTGATGGGTAGGAGAGCCAGAAGAAAGGAGAGAGAGAGAGAGAGAGAGGCCATGGCAGGTGCTTCAGAAAGCAGCCCAATTCTGCCCAGCACCCACCAATGCTTAACTATCCTTTCTAGTCACTTGTACTGACTTAGTAGCTGCTCATCTAGGCTGAACCAGCAATGAAGGAATTACACACCCCCGAGCTGATGCCCACTAGGGATGCAGGGAGACTCAATTTGTTGACAATCTTCAACTTGGAGCAACTCTCCAGGACTTCCTGATTGAGGATCCTGAGCAGAAAGTCCCAGATCTGCATCACCTCTATCAGCAAGTGCTCAAAGTCCTTCTTTTTGACTTTTGACACCTCTTCCCTCAGGTGCAGGGCTACAAAAGACAGGCACATCTTCTCAGCTTCTGATCACTGTCACTGCTCACCAGGCCTTTGGCAGACAGGCTTCCTAGTCAGCTTCCAGGGCCTGCCTTCTGCAGGCCTCTCAGATTCTCACTCATCTGCTCTAACAAGTTCATCAATTCATTCAATCAATAAGCTGATTTAATTAATTAACCAACCATTTTGGCTTGTTCACTTGATTGATTTAGTTCAACTGTTTAGTTGATTTTTCAAAGAAATAAAATTTCAAACCCCACACATCTGACCCATGAAAGCACACACACACACCAGCTGTGCATATGCACCAGGATAGCAGGGCACACTGCAAGCACCCTGTCAGTCAAGAGAAAAACGGGGACCCACCCTGCTGGCTACCTCCTCCTGCACCACAAACCCTGCACTGCCTTCTCTGTCAGAATCCCAGCAAACTAAAGATGGAGCAGAACGTTGGATCTTCTGCAAGGGGCTACAGTGCTCCCCACTGCCCTGCCCTGCCCCCACCACAGCTAATGAAAGTGACCACCCCACAGCCCAAGTCAATCAGATTTTGTCAAAACCTGAGTCAGAATCCCCAAGGAAGTGACAGGCCTTCAGGGACCTAGGCTTCCACAGAGCACCTACAGCTGGCAGCCACCTTGCTGGCCCACACTTGCTCCAGAGCTGGCCCACACTTGCTCCAGATACCTTCAAGATCTTACAGCCACAACTCCCACAACTGAGTTCAGGGACCTTCGACCCCACATGGACTCTAAGGAAGGCCCAGGCCCTAACAGGGAGCAGATGAGGACAGGGATACCTCCGGGCCACCTCACTTACCCAGCAGTCTTCCTCAGGGCCACCAGCCTCATCCATGGCCAACCACTGCTGCCACCATCACCACTGGGCCTTGACTCAGTGTGCTTGCACAGCGCCCTCTGACTCCTGCAGGCTGGGAAAGGCAGGAACGCATCCACGCTGGGAAGAACTGAGAGCAACCAGGCTCAAACCTTCCCAAGGCTGTGCAGCATTCTTAGCTTCAGGTGGAGTGGGAGAGGCAGGGCTTCCTCAGCAAGGTCAGGCTTTCCTGCATCTGGATCTTCACCTCATGCACTGAAAAGCAGAAAAGCGAGACCAGAGGTCAGTCATTTCCACTGCCAAGTCCTGAAAGCTAGGCATGCCAGGCTAGGGGGTAAGGTGTTCTTTAGCTCAGCTTCAAGCACGTCTGCGTCAACAGGGAGAGTGACTTCAGCCAGATCCGAGGAATCCTGGGGCAGAGCTGCGAACAGGTGGGCAGATTCATCCCAGCTCCAAACCCACCACCTTCAGGATGTGCATTCTGCCTGAACCACAAGTTACCACACACCTAGGAACAGTGTCTTCCCTCCATGGAAGTGCAGGCAGTGAGATGGTCACCAATTTGACAAGGGAGGTGTGCACATTGTCCAAGCGTCAGGAACTCAAGGGACCTACACATTGAGTCACCCCCCACATTTACTCTGAGGACATGCTCCCTTCACCACCCTGCACCTACACCTGCACCCGGACATGCCGCCTTCCATGCCCTGCACCTGTCACCACAGCTGGCTGCTCGCAGGTGCAAATGGACCTCCATCCATATCATCCAGTTAAGGCTGTGGGGTATGTCTCTGTGAGGTGGCAATATCACAGCATTAGGTAGGCATCAGTCTAAGTGAACAGGCTATGTGAGTAGGAGGGGCCAAGAAAATGGGAAATTTAGAAGGAAAAAAAAATGACTCTCTCTATGCTGGAAGGAGGACTCAAACCTTGAAGCACTATAAACATTTATATAGCGGAAATCTTCTCATTGGTCAGTGAGCTGACTGGGTGGGGTCCAGCCCTCTCTTGGAGGTTGGGAGAACTTTACACTAATCTTCTCCCCAAGCATTGCATGCCAGATGAATCCTGGGCGGAGCTGGAAACTTTATGTTTTGTAAATTTTTATATACACACATACATACATATACACACCTACATACATATACACACATATATCAGGAAGTTAAGCTTATAAGAGAAGGAAGAAGGAGTATGCCATTGTAATAAATTAGGAACAAATCACAGGAGGGGGCAATGGAAGGGAATGGGGGAGAGTGGTGAGACCCTTCACTTAAAAATAAGTATCATAAAAAAATGAAACTTTTAAAAAAAATGACATGATAATCCCATGATGGTGCAAGCATGTCTGTGCTGCCTTCACCCACCTCCTGCATGATCTGAGCTCACCACCTGGGACACAGAACCTACCACCTGCACTGCCCCTGCTTACGGGTCTCCACCAACTCCAAAGTACACTCTCACTTCACCTCAGCTGCTTAGGACAGCATCCTCCCTACCTGGGGTCCCAGGCGATGCCTCCTCAGACCCTAGCTTCCTTCCCTGCTCTAGGCAGACCCCACACTTCCATGCTTACCAGATGAAGTCCATGCTTCCTTCACATCCCAAGGAAGTCCAGGACATGCTCCCTCCAGTGACCAACAACTTGCTCCTCTCTCCCATGCAGACCTGCGCGCTTCTCCCCAAGCTGAACTGTGCTTCCCCAGGACCAAAGATGAATCCCACGCTCCCCCATCACTGTTCAAAATCCCTGACTGGGATTCCAGCCAACCCTGCATTCCATGCACACATACCCTCCCCACCACAGCCACCCGTGGAAGAACGCCCCTTCCTGCTTCCTCTTCCCAGCCCTACCGTGGACTGGCCCCTCCTGGTGGCTTCCTCAGGGGTCTCCACCCACTGCCACACATCTGGGGTTCATCTGAGAACTCTGCAGCCACCACTCCTGCACGGTGACCCACGCTACTTCTCCATCTGTGCGCTGTGTGAGAAAGCTTCGTCTGCACGTGGGGAAGATTTCCTCATGCCACAACTTGGGGTATCTTGCTGTCCCCACAGAAGACTTCTCTGGTTTCAGATGCACCCCACCCTGCGAGGCACAGCCCACACACAGACCCATGCTGCCCCACCCTGCCACCATGCAGACCCATGCCTCCATGCCCTCTCCACAGCAGCACACCTGATGTTCCTGCCCATGCTCGCATTGGACCAGCTCTGTTTTGGGGGAGAGGCAGAGCCCTGGAAATAGGTCACATCAAGCTACATGATTTTGTCCTAGTCCAACAGGGAGGCCTGTAAATTAGCCTCCTCTAACTTCCACAGTCCCAGGTCAGGGACTAGGGGTAATGGGCCTCTGGCCACAATGGGCTGCTGCCTCCAGGGGGGCTGTGGGGTGCTGGGCCTGTGACCACAGATAGGCAGCTACCTCCAGCAAGGCTGCTGGATGCTCAGCCTGCGTGCAACCACGTCCAGCAAGGCTGTGAGGATGGGAACCAGGGACTGCTAGGCCCGTGACTATGGCTGGTGGCCTCCTCCAGAGAGCCTGTGCAGCTGCTGGGCCTATGGCCACAGCTCAGTGGTTGACTCCAGAGAGCCAGTGTTGCAGGGCTGCTGGGCCTGTGGCCAGGGCTGGCGGTCACCTCCAGTAATGTTGGAGGGGTGGGGGTGCAGTTCGCACAAGAAATACATCTTTCAGGAGCTCAGACACCTCCCTGCTGGCCTGCACTGAGGCTGGGCAGTCCAGGAGCTCACTGTCTGGGAATCCAGGAGCTGGATCCCGGTGTGTGGCTGGAGTTACGGTGGGTTCCCAAGATGCTGAAGTGGTCTGCAGGAAGCCCTCACCCAGGGAAGGGGACTCAGATACTCAGCAGAGCTCTGATCTGCAAACACAGCGAACACTGCCTCCACCTTACCTCCGTGAGGGTCAGGGAGCCCAGGAATGGGATTGGGAGAGCAGCCAAGAGGCACAGGGTCAGTTGCTGCTTGGTGCACCCACCTGGGAGATCCGGAAGAAGTTCCTGGCTCTGGACTGGCTCTGCTCTGGCCTTTGCGGCCACTTGGGGAGTGAACCAGATGAAGGAAGATCTTTCTGTATCTCCTTTCTGGAAATCTGCCTTTGCAATAAAACAAAGTACTTTTTTAAAAGTCCTGAGAATTCATTAATTCCCTTATTTCTATATTAGAGAAACCAAAAGAAGTCAATATTAGCAGATATACTTGGAATGAATAGTGTCACCTACTGTTTCTTCATTGACAGACAGCGTATTATCATTTTCTCACCCTGATAGTTCACCCTCAACACACTGCTCACCAGTGGGCTCTGCAAGGCCGGGTCTGTTCTGATGGCCACCTGCGGCTCCTGCCCACACAAACTGAATCCCCCACACCCCAGAGCATGCGCACATAGTGCCTTGCCTGCACTTCCAGGCCAAAACAGTAGTTATGGGGCCTCCAGCACTCTCAACCCTGCTCCCTCAGCAAGCTGCTGGCCCACAAGACACTGTAATCCTGGTGCTTTCTTAGGCAAACCTGCAGCACCAGCCCACAGGACCTGAATCCCCTGCCCTACAACATGCCCATGCTGCCATCCCGCCTGGCAATAAAGGGCCAAAGGGGCTCTGGCAGGGCCTTCCACACTCCCAGGTTGTCTACCAGCCTCTCCAGAGCCGCTAGAGCTCAGCTGGCATTCCACAAGCCTCAGACCACTGCCTCCCATATCCACTGCAGTAGGGCAAGGTGGGCTTCTCAACCAACCCACATCCATCCTGCTCCCACAGCCACCTGCTGCCTCCTCCAGGGCCATTCCGGCTTGCCAGTGCCCCTGCACATTGTGCAAGCCTACCACATGCCCCCTTGCTGCCACAGGGCCACACCTGCTTTGGCAGCAGCCATCACATCCCCAGCCTTTCTGTCCTTCACTACAGTACTAGGCCAGTTTGGCCAACAGGCCCCAGACACAAAGCACGCCTGCCTGCCATCTGGCTTGGTGCTCTAGGCCCAGGCTTGGTGAGCTGTTGCCAGAAACACCTCTAGCTTGGCGTGGATGCTACCCCGCTGCTACTAAGGGCAATTGATCTTGGCCTGTCACCCCAATCCCTCAGCTGACTGCTTGGCTGTATGCCTCCCTAGGGCCAGGCCAGTTCTTCTGGTGGCACTACAGTCCCAGCTGGCATGCCCGACCACGCTGTACTCCAGACCCAGGCTCACTTGCCATGGGCCAACCACATCTCCAGCACTCCCACTGTGGCCACTTCAAGAGGCACAGGCCAGCTCGGCCTATGAGCAGTGTCTGACTCGCCAGCCCATCTGCCTAGATGCTCGCAGGCTGCTCCATGGCCAGGGAGGCTCACCAGACACTCCACACCACAGCATGGCACCCTGCTGCCCGACTTGCTTCACAGCCACACAGGCTCCTGCAGCACCTCTTACACACACAAGGCCACATGCCAGCTGATCTAGGACCAGTAAAGCTCAGCTGCCTGGCACCAGGGATTCCAGGTGCACCCATTCCATCGGCCTTTACACTGCTCCAGGGCCAGGTGGCTCAGCAAGGGACCTCTCCCTCACATGGCTGATTGCAAACCAGCCTCTCTGGGGACAGTCCCATTCTCCTGCGTCTCTGGGGCCCCAGACAGTATACCCTGAGGTCCTGCTTGCCACTTACTCCAGGGTCAACTTTCATTGGCAAGTGTCAGACATGCCTGTAGCCTGCCAGGTCCACCACCCTGCTGCTGCTCAAGGGACAGTTGAGTTTGGCTATCTACCCAGTTTCCTCAGCAAACCACATGCTGTATGTGCCACCCTAGGGTGGGGCCCATTCTGCTGCCAGCACTGAGGCACCAGCCAGCACGAACCTCCAATTCCCCAGCATCTCAGGGCCAGGATAATGGGGCCCTGGGTCCTCAGTGCCACCAGCACTCATGGTGTGGTCACTGCAACAGGCACAGCTCCCTCAGCAGGTGACCCCTTTGCCTCTAGCTCACCCACCCAGCTGCCTCATCAGCAGCTCAAGGTCCACATGGCCTCAGCCAGTGCCTCCCATGCTCATGGGCCAGGCCCCACCCAGGAGGGTTCAGCCCACCCCACATACTTCCAGTCAGGACACACCAACACTCTGATTGCTGTTCCAGGACCAGGTAGGCTCAGCTCATGCAGTGCTCCAGAGCAAGTGGGGATCAGCCAGCAATCCTACTCCCTCAGCAGACCACTCAGCTGCCTGCAATTCAGAGCCAGCCCATTCTGCCAGGGACC